CGCGACGCTGCTCAGTCCCGCTGTTACTTGAAACAAGTAGAGTATGTTTCAGTTGAGTCTGAGTAAGTCTTAATTTTCAATAATGTTTTATAAACAATTTGATTTGATTATGAAAAATAATGTTTTATTAGATACCTGTGACCAACCTCAAAATTTATCAAAATCTGATGCCGTTCAAAAACTTATTATGTTCTTTCCATCGACGTAAAACAAAAGAGGTTATTACTTCCTTCCCAACCCAAAGCATCTCATAGAACATTTATTAGAGAATTTTCTGCAAGATGAGAGGCCCTTTTAGAAATAGGCTGGCATTTCTTATCTTGTCATAATAGTGGTAATATACTGGTGTTGCCATTCGTATGAGTAATATTAACGCTATTTCTTATCTTTCCACCGTTTCATGTATGAAATAGTATTTCTCTGTATCTTTTTTTTATCAATACATATATCTTTTTTACATTCTCATCTTTGTCATCGTTTTTTGATTTTTTGCAAGCTTTTTGTTATTTCTTTTCTCGTGGCTTTTCTAACTGTCAATTATGTTGGACATTTTTTCTTGGGGTTGATGAAAGAGTGAAAAAGGAGAAGAGTGGGGTTGATAAGAGGTACATGGTTCGTTTAGTTAGTAGGTCTATCTTTTCAGTGCTCATTATTCAGCGCTCGTCGTTTATTATTAGTTTAAGAAGAACAAGAGGAGGTTCTAGGATAAAAATTAGCAAGCAATAGCCCTGCTTTGCACAATCGTCAAACAATCACGATATATTCGTCATTTGTTTTATTACGCCACAGCATCAAAGAGTTGTTATGTCCCAATTATTCTCTCTACATTTCTCAAAGCATACATATACACATTCTCCTAAACTATCTTACTAATATTATAAATGTGTAAGTTACGATGTTTGGATGATGAAATTTGGCACAGGGATAGGACACATTCCGGAATAGGACATAGGCTACTTTCTATGAACATACCACGCGGGCGAAGACGCGGGCGGAAGCATGTATAGCATATACAGTATATTATTTTAAAGATTTATCGAAATCGGTCGAACTATACGTGATGAAGAGAAATTGAGATTATTAATTTATCAACTCACATAAACAGATAAAATCATAAAAGAAAAATTCTAATCTCGGTATTGCCTTCCAAATAATTTATTTTATCAAACAAAATGTATCTGAATTTGACTTTATCAGTCGTTCAAACCCTTATAATCCGTCGGCTAATATCATGCGGCTCGGAACCCCAAAAGGAGTTACTGACAATACTGATATCCGCTGCGGTAACTTCGGATAAATTACAAAATGTCGAGTAAGTTACCAAATGCAGGATAAGTCACAAAATGCTGAATAAGTTATAAAAATCCAAAGATTAAAACCTTTTTAAAAGATTTAAAGTATTATATAGATAATTAAAAAACAATGATCGAATTAAAAATTTTTGGCACGTGTTTATATTCCAATCAGAAGAGGATGGATAAACTATAAATTAGAAAAAAAATTACAAAGACTATTGTTATTTCAAATCCGATCTTAATCCGTCCAACAGTTTCTATTCTTGGATTTCGAATACGTGCAGGAAAAGTATGCATGGTAAATCGGCTGTTAAGTACTTAATAATGATTGCACTGAACCTCTTGAAACATCAACGACGCGTGGTGATAACACAGCCCTCCACTTTACAACACAATTATCAACAATTACTATATAATAATTATTTTTTTATCCCCGTACTCAGAGCCATTTAATGGTTACTAAACCGAATCTTAAGTGTCGTGGTGTAGCGGAAATTAAGGAGCCCGTTTCTCATGAATGAGGGTGTTCGAAACCTCGCTAGGCATTAGCATGTCACTTTTTAGAGTTATAATGTACTTTCTATGATTATTTAGACACATATACTGACATATGTTGAAGAAAGACATCGTAAGAAATCTGGACTTATGATTCCTAATTGTAAGTTTGAAATTGCCAATCCGCCTTTAGCTAGCGCGAGCGTGGTGATTAATGCTCAAACCTTCTATGTGTGAGAAGTGGCCTTTGCTCTACAGTAAGCACTTATAAGCTGAGAAGGTGTGTGATGTAAAACCGAATCTTTAAATTTTTTTTCCATACGAAATCGTAAAGATTTCATATACTAAGTTTGGGAGAGCCATGCTTCGGCACGAATGGGTCGGCTCGACCGGAGTGATACCACGGCCTCACAGAAAATCGGCGTGAAACGACCACAGCGTTGTGTTTCGCCGTGTGAGTGAGGTTACCGGAGGCCCAATCCTTCCCCTCCCCCAATCCCTTCTCAATCCCTAATCCCTAAAAGGTCGGCAACGCACTCGTGACTTCTAACGAACCTAAACCTTACAGGCAATTTTATTCATTTTTGCTCAAGTGTTTTATTAACATCACAGTCTTAAAATGTATTTCTAATGAAAATAAAACTTAATGTAATTACATTATTTATCATATCTCTTAAGTGGGAATTTGGTCCTTAGGGACCTAAGGACCAAATTAATTTCCTTTTTTACCGAAGAATATTTAAATGAAACTTTGTAATTCAATAATGATTTTGAATTGTTGATTGAACACGAATTCCTTTAACTAAAATATTTATTCTAATATATACAAATATCAAATATTATAAACATAAAATGTGATCCTAATAGATTCGATTTCGAATACAAAAGAGAATGTATAATAATATTATAGTGCTTTTATTTTGACATTTTGTACTTAACTATTTCAAAATATTGAGGGAGGTTACTACAACAGAAAATATTGGATTTCAAAAATAGGGAATAAAATATTTTGTACGTTTATATTTAATTTTTAATGCATTACTATTTGAGTTAAGAATCGAACACTAAAACAATTGCAAGTTCGTTGAGTACTTTTCAACTCATGCTGTAGATATAAATAAATAATTTATCAGAAAAACCGATCCAAAAATCCATTATTTTTAAAATTATAAACAATATATATTAGTATGGACCTTCCTAAAAAAGGAACGATTCTTTTAGTATTACATGGCGATATAGTTCTTGTGGATAAAGGACCAAATCTTCAAACTTTATTAATATATTTTGCTCATTGTGATTAAAGTAAAAAGATGACATAATTCGAAATATAATTAGGTTAAAAAGCAACCTTATGTTCCTTCATTTTAGGTTATTGGTTCTCTTACGTAATTAGTGCTTAAGTGGTCTAAAAGCTGACCCGAATAAAGTTTCATTTAATTAAAAGCCTTAACGTCATCAAATTAGAGTGTATATTTAGCTATGTACCTCGTACACCTAGTTATTAATTCTCAGTAGGAAATATTACCGGTGACAAACATTAATTACCAATGTTTGTACTGTAATAGTTCTAATTAATTTTTCACGCGAAAATATGTGGGAACGCGTAAATTATGTCAGAATTACGGAAGAAATTCGCATGCGGATTCCTTAAATCCATTCCAAAAATGGTATATAAAAATACTTTTGTTTTTTTATTCCGAAAAAATCCGAAACTATCGCAAATCAGATAAGTGTATTCCGTAATCGTGAATTGTTTATTTATTTTCCCGATAATGTTGATACGCGAATACTATCTATAACCTGCATCATTTTCTTATCATTTCGCGTAAAATGGGCGTTCTTTATATAGGTCTTTTTACATCATGATATCGTGTAACTAATATAGTACTTCGGTTACTGAATTATGTCACAAAAGGAACTTATTTTTATTAATCAATACTGCAATGCGTACTATATAAATAAAAATGTCCGTTTAACTTCTAAACAATTGTATTTAGAAGCCGCCGGCTATCTATTATAAATTGTTGTTTTGCTAGGTTGATACGATTTCCCTAACCTAATACAATATGGCTTCCTCTTTCCGACTGTCCGTCGGTTGACCTCTGCAACCCGAAGCGCATCGCAATGACCTCCCCGCCGGCAAACAGCTGGCAAACCAACTTCTCCTAAGATGTCAGAAAACTGCTGTTAAAATGAATCATCTGTTTAAACAAACAGTTTACGCAATATATAATTAGTTTAGCGATTCTTATTGAAGTTATTTTGTGACTAAGGTATAACTGCATTCCATTTCATGATGCGATGTCGCCAACCGAACCAAATCATCATTTGAATCACACTTTAAAGATATCTTCTTGTTATCTCCAACCGGCGTCTTGATTTCTTCACGTGTGCCGATGAAACATTCGTTTTCAAACATAAAAGAAACAGAAGCAAATGTTTCAGAGGAAAACTGAGTCATTAACTGAATGAAAACGTAAGAAAACTAGCTGAACAATCTCAGTGTTGTATATTTTACCGCAACATACTTTTACTATTATTTGATAGATAACTAATTAGTTCGTGTTCAAGCATTCTTATAATCATTGCAATTCATCAGTAGTTTTACAGCATTAATAAATTTGTTACGACCGGCTATTCTTCGTTATAAATAAAGCCGGTTTATTTCGTGTTTCAGACATTCGGACTGAATACTTTTTTTAGAGTTGGTAAGTACAAGCGTGAAAATAAAGTAAAAGTATTACGTAATATAAATATTGTCCTGCGGTACGTTTGCCGCAGTATTTTCATTTAATTATTTACCGGCATTACCGTTCCTAGCCCAAACTACGCCACCGGTGACGTAACGGGAGACTAGACCAAACCGGCGAACGCAAAAACCATCTACATAATAGCCGCATTACATCACATTTCTCCAAATTTCACATAGACGTTACTTTTTTTTGCTTTTAACCGCACCACGATTTTTACACGGAATACAACAAAATTCCACATTGCGTACGTAAAATTATAAACATTCAGAAAACATCGGAACTATTATTTTTCATCGGAAAGAATCAATGGAGAAAGTGCGTGTTGTGATGCTAAAAAATAACGTTTCTAATTCCACAATAGACGCTCGCCGGCAAATTCAATTTTCTCCCAATTTGACAGCTGTCACGTTGACAGTTCCGAGTTTTTCTGAATAAGGCAACAAACAGTTCTGCTTACCTTTAACAAGCCGCTGCAGAATTATCTCCTTGTGCTCGTGAGTGTGGGGCTCCCCGATCACCGCGAGCAAATAACATCCCGTAAGAGGGCTCGGTGGGGGCACGGAGGCAGATACCTCCGTCCCCAAAGACAAGGACCTGTCCTCGTCGTGGTCCATCGCCGACGGCGGCGCCGGCGCGACTGCCGACGGTTCGCCCAGGGCTAGCGTATGAATCGACCGCTCGGCACGAGAACTCCGATCGGAATGAATTCGAACGGCCTGTGAAGTAGACATTTGCGCGCGCAACGCTCCGGCATCGACCGCTGGATATGCGCGACACGCAGACGCGTCGGCGACTCGACTCAACCCCAAAACCGTCTTTTCATTCTAACTTAACATTTCTTTTATGCGAAAGATAGAGATGGAATATGTCGTAGGGCGTATACAGAAGCCGCTGTAGGTTTTTCAGCGCACACGTGATCTGCATTGCGTCTAAACAACCCGGCTAAATAACCTCGGACCGGTGGCTCAGCTGTTCGACAGAATGCCATGGTTGTTACAATCGATAATGATATAATCGGAATGACTTGACATTACAGCGTTTGGTCACTTAATTTTAAAGAAGGCTCTATTAATAGCCGGCTGCGGAAAAACAAAAGCCGGTCCTCGGGACTCGGAGCATTACGGCGGTATGTCCGTTCAGGACTGCAATGACACGGCCCATTTGTTTCCCTGACTTTTATCACTTCCCTACAACCACTATGTTAAGTGGACTAAGCAGGGTTATTTAATTTTTAACGCTTTGTGCGTTACCCGCATTAGAGTTATTTCCTCGAGGGTCCTTATGAAAGGGAGATAATGTTTTAATCTTTCTTCCTTACCTTTTATTTCTCCTGAGTTATTTCGTTGGGCCCTAGATTAAAAATTGATACAACGTAAATTTTATCACATTTATACCAGAGCAATTCATTTAACTGGTATATTTTTTTTATTGAGCTGTAATTAGTTGCCAATTAATGTATGACTCGTATTTGTAAATAGATCTTCGTTGATAGCAGAACGCATTGGTCCTCTGGTGATAATTAATATTCGTGCATAACAATAATGCAATTTGCAATTTCAATAATTATGACATTGGACGGCTTATATTGGCGTTGGTTTTTTGTTTGTTATTTGAATACCTCGATTGTTTAATATATAACAAAATCTACTTTTTGAAATTGGTCCTTCGATACTTACTGCCATTCATTGGTTTATATTTTTTTAAGAAGCTGTTTTATCTGAGACAATTTTTCAAAGTATTTTGAGTATTGTGTATTTCAAATTATTTTGCAACCTTATTAATGTTTTAGACTGATTGTTGTGTACCTTGACTTATGATTCGTGGTTTTTTAGGTTTTTTTTTTCTTCTCGATAACAGTTGTTAGTGTGATAATATTTTTTGTGTTGGGGTTTTGGGATTTTGAATACAATTCTTAATATTTAGATAAGAATAGTATAATTTGAGAAATTATTGTTTTATGTATTATCTAACATATTTGAGATTCATACAATTACTTCTTTTTTTATAAAATGGTGACTAAAAGTTCCTTTTGTAAAATACAAACGCTTTGAAGAGAATTTAAATAATTTACAATCAGTCTAATTCAACATTTGTTTGAATGAAAAAAATCGAAAGTTAATCTATTAATTTTGTACGACATTATTAATTATATGTGTTATGATGTATTTTTTTCGTATAAAACAGCACACTTACTTCTTAAGTAGCTAGAAAAACACCAATATTAATTAAATCCTAAAATCAATAATGAAAGTATATTTATTTTCAATATTTTATAGCAAGTAACTTATTGGAGAATAATATGTACCTTAAAGTGAATTTAGTACCAATTAAACTAATTTGAAGTGAGGTAGACCCAGGTTTCGGTACTAATGGATCGGCTCGGATGAGGTGAGACAACCACAGCTTTGTTTTTCGCCGTGTGAGTGAGGTTACCGGAGACCTATTCCTTCCCGTTCCCTGATCCCTAAATCTCCAAAACCCTATTCCCCAAAAGGTCGGCAAGGCACTCGTACCTAAAAAAATTCATTCAGGAACAGATTCTCCGGCACATCAACAAAGGCCAGTATAATTTAGAAGATAGCACATAAATTATCTTGACTCATACTTTCACTATCGACACATGTGTGCATTGTATCATCAGTAATATTGTTCCGACTGCCCCGGTTGCCTACATACGGAGAAAATTCTCTGCAGTTAATAAGTATCGTTATCTATGTACTGTTTTGTTCGAGAAAAACATTACAATTAATACTCTTTGGTATAATTTGTTTCTTTTTTCGACCGCAGTGCAAATATATGGCTATATTTGCCACGTCTTTTTTTCGTATATCGAAAGATAAAGGAGTATTTATTATTTTCTTAAGTGGGAACCACATACATAATGCAAGATTCGCCAATGTATCTACCAGTGGTTAACTATGAGGTTCTAATACAGTGATGACCCATTTTTTGGTGGAGGTCAGTCACAAAATGACCCTTCTCGCTCTTTGTGAGTCGAGAGGCAGTGTTAGACTCTTACTGACTAAAAACCACCCCATTCCTTCTTCTGCTCCAGTCCAGAAATTTGGGGTTAGAAATTTGAAGATTGGAGATATGGGGATTGTAGGGAAGTATTGGGCCTCCGGTTACCTCACTTACACTCGACAACTTCAATAACACAACGCAAGCATCATTTCATAGCAGTTTTCTGTAAAACCGTGTAATCACTTTATTCGAACCAAACCATTCTTATAATAAATAAATAAATTGTACATTAGAATAGCATGTATATAATTATAATTGTAGTGATTCAAATGTTATATACTGTGCCTATATTATAGTGGTCCTTAGCTACGCAGATATAAGCAATATATTCCTTGTTCAACTATTCCTAGTGTGTAATGCCTGGTCTAATAGCCTAATACCGTGGTATATCCATAATGATAAGTCAGTGTCGTCCTAATACCGTTTGTGATTATGGTTTGCTCGGTAGACCCACGTCCAACGGTGGCTGTTTACGAGCTCCAGTGATTAATGATGCCATCTGGAGATGTCATACTAAATTCTGTTAGCAAAACCGCTGGTGTCTTAGTTTTTTTTATAAAGTGTCTGTAAATCAGGCAGATTGCAGAAGAATAAATGAAAGTAAATGTTGTTATCGTAAAATTGATTTACCAATATTAAGAATTGATTTAATTATTTGAAAAAATTTCTTCGTTAAATTATTAAATGCTTTTCCATGGTTTTAGAAATAGTAAAGAATGTTTCTGTATTTATAATAACTATACCTTTGTTAAAGAAGTTGTTAAGTACATTATGAGATAGAAATATATATTTTTCACGATCGCATCACAACTATGTGTTTATATCATGGCAGAATGAAAGTAACTGTGTCAATCAACGGCCATGGAGCATACAATGGCGTTATGAGCGTTTATTTGCGGAACTGGGGACCTTTCTGCGAAGCAGTCATGCTTGCAACAAAAGAGATAAAGCGCGTGAGGGAGCTATCCTCTTCACGCCCCAGCCGCCGCAGTGGGAGATGCTCCACAGAACAAGACTCGAGCGTATGGGGCCCATTAGGGGCAACGACAAGAGTAGCACCGGGTAGTGGGAAAGTAAGAGTCTGGCACCCCCCTTTTGCCCTACTCAGGACAGATTAAGTAGTATAATGATTCTCTCCCTCAACAAAAATGTGGTTACTGATAATAAGTAGGCTTTCCCAGTACTAAAGTTGCCTCAATTTTAAAAACATATTAAGGCGGTCTTAGACTAAAGAGTCTCGCTTACAAAGCCAAATTATAATCTAATTACTTAAGTGCTACGGAGCGATTTTATATAACTAAGTATCTTCTTCAATTATTACAGTATCTACCAGTTAATCAACTATAATTTTAGGACAGTTTTCACTACTAAGTAATTGCTTTGCAAGTAAAATCTATAGATGTTTTTTATTCTTATACAGTATTCCATTAAATAACTGCACTCGCTGTCATTTGGGAGACTCATGCTACGGCACGAATGAGCCGGAGTGATACTACGGTCTCAGAATACTGGCGTGAAACAAAGCCAGTGATGTGTGATTGGGGTTACCTTCCACAATCCTTCCCTTCCCTTTTTATTCAAACTCGAATCCTAATCCCTAACAGCCTACAAAAGGCCGGCAACACACTTATAACTTTTTTGATGTTGCGGGTATTCATGGTAGGCGCCAAGAAATTATAATATTACATTTATCTATAGAACGACAGTTCCTACTTATATTATAATAGAAAAAAATAATTTTCACCAATATGTAACATAAGCGAGTTAATCACCAACTTGTTTTTCACTATACAAGGCTTATACAAAATATACATATTATAATGAACTCATTCCCAAAAAAGGTCGTCCGTCTTTATTTACTTACCCTTTCAAGAACATACCTACTTAAACTTGAGAAACATGTATTAAGCTAGCTACACACAACATACCAACATACTTATATAGCATGTTTCGTAAGGGCACAAACCCGACAGCCCTCGCATACTAATGTAGCCTGCAAGTCAAGCTACACTTTTCTGTCAAATTTCTTCATTACATTTTCAACTTTATACTTTTTCCATAAGATTAGAAATCCCATATACAATTGACGGTGTGGAGTAGGTTGATATGCTAGCCAATATACGGAACAAGACAATATATGGACACAAGGGTTGTAAACATTGAAGATTATTTTGAATAGTTATTTTGAACCTTATCGTTAGACTGCATTCTTAGGATATATATTAAAAGTAAATCTAAAAAGGTTTTGTTGTTGCTACAAGTTTATACATTTTTTTATGGTTTTAAGGCTTTTAAGTAAAGGCAAAGGAGCAGACGGATTACCTGATGGTAAGCAATCGGCGCCGCCCACGGACACCCGCAACACCAAAGGAGTTACGAGTGCGTTGCCGGCTTTTGGGGATAGGGGTTGCGGATGTAAGGATCGGGAAGGGATAGGGGAAAGGGCGGGATTGGGCCTCCGGTAACCTCACTCACACGGCGAAACACAACGCTGTGGTTGTTTCACGCCGATATTCTGTGAGACCGTGGTATCACTCCGGTCGAGCCGACCCATTCGCGTCGCAGCTTGGCTCTCCCACACTTAATTGCATATTCTACGTTATAGATGGTCTTGAGTAAATGTTGAAAGGTTTTTTTTTCAGCCATATGCTAAGATATCCATCCTACTATGTCAGTATCAATAAGACTCTTTTCTACATATAAACAAGACAGAAAGGAAGAACCAGGCATCGTTACGACTGGTTGGGTTAAAAAATCAGCGTGGATTAACTACATGTATGCACTACTGCATTATGTTTCGCCGTGTG